TCTGTGTGTGTGTCTGTGTGTGTGTCTGTGTGTGTGTCTGTGTGTGTAGGTCCCTGTATATCTCTATAAACATTAAAGAGAACTTTTGGGAAAGGATTTGCAAAAAATTTGAGATTAAATAATTATCTTAATCCTCTGTAGATTTGGCTTTGTTTTAAGTACCAGACTTCTTTTTGCTTCTTAATGTGACGTTTAGAGCGATCTGGAAGAATGGGAGGAACTAGTTTTTTTTATATTCTATTTAAGGGTAGAGAAATGAAACCTTCCCCTGTGCAGCAGAGCCAGGAACAGCCCTGGAAGAGCTGTTTCCCATTGGTGAAAGATGATGTAGGTGTGTGCATGCCCATCCACAGGGGAAGGCTGTGTCAGAAACAGCGAGGCTTTGGTGTGTGCCAGGAACAGGACTCCTGGTTTCTGGCAAAGGAGGATAAACCCCACATTTTTGGTGCTATCTGGCAATCTCCAGCTGCTTGCCCCAGCCTGCTTCAGCTTCCCTGCCCCTGCTCAGCAGAGGGAATGCTTTATGCCTTGTCTGCATAGGTTTTTCACATATTGGTGATTTCAAAACTGGAGTTTTCAGGTTTTCAGTCTTGGGTTTTTTTCCTAGTATCTGGAAAATCAGCTGAGTTAAAGGACTGACAATGCTATTATGAGGCAGTTGGTCAACACTCAATTTATTCTCATTTGATGGAGAGAACATAAGAATGTAGAACTACTCTGCAAAACACATAAGTGCCTAATTTTTTATGCTGCATAGGGTGGTGTAAGCACTCACTTGGACGATGCTAAAAAGGAAAGTTTGTCTGACTAGTGAAGAAGCTGCATGAATTCAGTTGTCTAAAAAATGTTTATTCCAGAGATCCACATTGTGTAAAGTTCTTTACAACCTTCATAGCAAGGTAGTAAAAAAACCAAAAAGCTGACTCAGTTATTGAGTACCAAGAAATAATTTGAAGGACTAAGTCTTATCAGGCTGCTCACTTGATAAGACTGTTTCAGAGATTGAAGGTGAAAATAAAAATCAGAAAGAATTAAGATAAAAAAATATATCTCTGTCAAATAAAAAGAACAGTATATCCTTTCCTTTCTCCAGTTTTCTAGGAAGAGAAAGCTAATGCTGTGACTTTTGTTTTGTTTTTGTTTTGTTTTTTTATAAATCAGCTCCTCAGGTGCTGGCAGTGTAGCAGACCGTGTCTTGGCTCAGTTGCTGACGGAAATGGACGGGATAGAACAGCTGAAGGACGTGACAATTTTGGCAGCTACAAACAGACCGGACATGATAGACAAGGTACGAATGGATGCACTGTTGTATATCCTGTTCTCTTGAAAAGACCAGATTTTGGTATAATTCCATTCTCTTTTACTCTCCAAACTGTTGTCTGATCAATTTAATGATTAAGAGTAGAAGTTTGAAAATGAAGACAAGGCAAAGGAATAGTTCACTTTTTCTTCCTCCCTACAGAATTTTTACCAGAAACACAATGTTTTGCCATGGCCTTAAGTATCTGTTTCCTAGATGAGATTTTCCTTAAGTCAAGCTCATTGAACTTGTGCAGCAACGTTTCTGTCAAACTGCTGCTGTGGTTTTTGCTTCTGTTGTGTTTGTTTATGCAGGAGTTTGCTGGAGTTTGTTGGTTTCATTTGTTACTTCCTTTCAAGAGATTAAATATCTCCTCAGTGCCCTTATCCTGCTGCCAGCACTACGGTTTCCAACTGTAAACAGTACAGTTTCTCCTCAGATCCTGCTGCAGCTCTGCTGGCGTGACAAGAACATGTCAATTTTGTAAAAGCTGGAGGGTTGTAACACTTACTGCAGAAAAACCTCCAAACACAAAACCAACCCAGCAGCCCTCTAGAAAATCCACTTTAAAATCCTCCACCACTGCTGTGTCTTCTCACAGCTAAGTGCAGTAGACGGGTCAGTCTGAAGTGATTTCCTTTAAGATACATTTTGTAGTGTTGGTAAGGTTCTTTATTCCACAGCTTTTCACCTTCACAACATTAATGAATGTGATGACAAGTTAATGAATTTAGTTTTCCTGGTCTTTTTTAGGGTTTCTTATAAGTTTCTTAAATAATTCTCACATTTTAATCTGCTTCTGGAATAGTTTTTTCTGTTTGTCTTGGAGCATTCAGGCATAAAATACACATATGTATGGTTCATATACCCAGGAAGTCTTGAGAAAAAACCTTATATTTTGGCTCCAGAACACAGACTCTTCCCTATTGAACTGAAGGAAGCCACACAGCTGATGAAGACCTGACAAAGGCTTATTTAGAGCTTGCTTGTACACTGTCTGTTAGCCTGCCATGGCAAAGTAGAGCTAGCAAAGTGTTTTCAGGAAAAGGTGATAAAACCGATCAGTGAAAAATATGCTTGTGCAAAATTGAAATTGTCAAAATTTCACTTTTGTCGAATTGATTTCAATTTTCTTTAGTGGCTGTTCTTCAGAGTCAGACTAAGCTGAATTTGAAAAAAATCTGTTTGTTGAACGGAAGGGAAATTTCCTTCTGAGTCAGTTCAGCATTGCATTGTCTTGTCTCCATCTCTACCTGGGAGTTCAGTTCCCTGCTGTTCTCCCTTTTGCTGGATTTCTCGTGGGCCCAGAATGAATGCTGCTTTCTTGTATTGTAGTTTTTAATTGAAATATTGGCAATATTGGAACAGTACAACCGTTGCCACCCTGCAATACTAAGAACTTGATAGAACCTGAGTTACTGTATGCTGTACCTACATCATTGATGCAAATCCAGACCTCTTAGCCTGGGATATGATGCATAAAAATTTAATGTCTTCTGTACATATGAATTTTGGGGGGGTGGTGAACTTTTAAGAATGAACAATGCAGTTTTGTTTGGATGCCAACATATCTTATGTATTATTTCCCCAAGTAAAGCTGATAGTCTTGACTCTAAATGTAAAGAAAAGGAGAAAGTTGCATGAGGCAGTGCTCCCCATAGTAGCAAGCTGTGTGATTACAGAAATTTTATTAGCAATTTTAATAGCCACAAATGGCTCCTTTATATTTTTATTGAAAACTCTTTTTACCAAGATATAATGGGAAACAAACAAACAAACAAAAGAATTCTAGAAAGCGTTCACCTAACAGAGTAGCAGAGCAAAACTTCATCGATCTGGAGGAAAGGGGATTTTAAACTGTGATTTAAAGGGATCACATTTGAGTTGGTTTTGCACACTTCAGACTTCATCCAGACCAGACAGGCTGTACCAGGCCACCACCTTCTCCTGGGTCCATGCAAGATTTGCAGTGCATGAGTTGTACTTTTTCCCCCTTCCCTGGAAAAAAGAAGACTGGCACCAGAAACCACTTGTGTTGTGGGCTTCACTTAATGGGAAATTTTTCAGTGTGGGCTTTCAGTTTACTTTGTGGTTGCTGATCCCTTTGGAAAGGTAACATTTTGTTAAATTCATGTTTTATATGGAAATAATCGGTTATGTGTGACAATTAACTGAGTGTCCTACTTTCATAGTTATATATGATGACTACACTTTAATGCACAAACTTTACATATGTTATAAAGGTACAAGACAGTCTGTCTTCTCTACTTCCAAGGACTAGGAAAACATCTGGTATACTTTTTTGTGACTATTCTTTAGCTTTTCAAACCAAGAAATGCTTGAGGAACGTACACTTTCTAAGTTCTGTGTGCTTACAAAATTGGTAACAATCCATCCAGCATCTTCATTTACGTGGCTGCTGCTTAACTGACAATTCTGTGATGATTAATCTTTTGTAATTTGAAAACAACACTTGGGAATATCAAATGTAAGACTATTCCCCAGAGCCTAGTGCAGACTTCATCATCCCTGCAAACACAATGTTGCTTTCAGTTAGTGAATAGATTTGAGTCAGACTTTATAAAAGGTTATGTGTAATGATAAACTTGTTTTGACTTGTCACAGACATCTATTAATAAGGTAATTTCTCTAAGATGTCATGATTGTATTGAAATGTTATTGCAGCCTTGTCCTGTGTTTGTAGCATTCAGATACTTTGCATCTCATTCATGTGATGCTGGAAAGGCCTTGGAATAGCTTCTGTTTTTTGTAAGAATGCAAACCCAGCGCGTACTGTTTTCAGCCATGTATGGTACAGAAAGTGATTTCTCTTGGAAGGGAAATATTCTGGAACAAGATGTTCTGAACATTCTTTGAAAGTGATACAGAAACAAAACACTCTGAGTCAGTCATAATAGTAAAATCTTTCCTTTTATTCTTCATTCTATAAGCAGAATTGATGAGCAATAAGTGGAAAAACTACTTTTGGTTTTTGGTGACTTACCCACTCAGGAGTGATTTTTCATGCCTAAAATGTGTTGCAATAACTTTATGGAGCTGCTTGTGATTCAGAGTTTGTCTTTTCCTATGTATCAGCCTAACCAGAGATCATTCATCCCCACATAAAAGTAAAACACTGTGAATAAATTGCTCAGCTTGAAATTAAACATTCTATCCGGACATACATTCAGAAGTGGTCTGACAGATTTCCGTGGAAGAAAACCTAGATCAACTCATCAGGATTAGCATGTCCTGTTTTTAGTTCTTCAATGGAACCTGCTTTCCTGGCCTTTTAGCACTGGGCTTACTTTATGTGAGAAGGTTGAATTGCTATCATTACCTTCCCATGCAGATATTTTTTTTTCCCCTCTTAAAGCAGCATTTCAATCTCCATTAGCAAGGGTGCAGTGAAGGAAGGGAGACTGTCAGATCCCCAGGGACCTTGGTGAATGTTTTAGCACAGGAAGCAAGATGCAAGTTGCTCCTGCATCAGATAGTTTTACCTCCTGCTGGGTCAAATTTGAATGTCAAACACATTAGCTGTGATGTAAAACACGAGGTGCTGAGCGAAGTGAGGGCCTGTGGTACAGGGTGACATCCTGGTGCTCCTGACAGCTTCAGTTCTCCTTATCGCGGGGTGCAGAAAAGACTATCCTCAAATATGCTATTTGCATAAGAATGACAGGATGTGATAGGACAAATGAAGATTAATGGGATGCTGTGCTGTCAGCGTTACCCATTGTCTCGAGATTGATGATGGTCTGGATTTTGTCTGCATTCATGGGCTCCAGTGTAGTTTAAACCAGAAACTATCCTGATACCTTGAATGCTGAAGAACTGAATCTTTTGAGTGCTTTGTTAGCACGGGAGGGCTTGGCTCCCTCTTTCCAAGCATCCTGCTTGTTGGTATAAAACCACGTATTTTGCATATTGTACCAGTGCAGAGGATTTTCTCTGTCTCCTTTTGCATGTTTGTTTTGCTTTTTAAGAAATTCCTACTCCCTGGTCTTCCTCTTCACCTCCTCTTCCATCACCTGCAAGTTTTGCTGCTCTGTTGACTTCATTCTATTAACGATTGGGTTTGAATCCAGCTTATTTAGTTTAAGAGCCATGTGGATAACACTGAGTTTTGTGTTCGGGTTACGTGAACAAAATAAAACAGAACTGCAGCTGATATTCTTCCTAGCAACTGCCAAGCATGAGGAAAGGGAATAAAACTCCCTTCTCCCATGGTTCAGTTGGATTTGAAGGAGGCTTTTGGGCAGAGAAGTCAAGCAGAGGTTTATCAAATTGATCTGCCCCTCAAAGTGTTGATTACTATGTAGTTATGGGACAACCTTAATTTAAAGTGGCTTGTTTAGATGAAAATAAAAAATGCGTGATAGAACCATTTGGCAGAATCAGTAAAGAAATTATAATTTCTTGCCTGCAGCAAAAGTAAATAATCTTTCCTCTTTAAAAACATCAAAGTTCAGTCTTTCTGAAGGCTTATGGAAGAAATTCAAATATTTAAGTTTGCAGTTTTACAAGTTAAAAGGAATAGGAAAGATTCCTGCACATTTATTCATTATTGTCTGGAAATATATATGTGCTGTTTTAAGGCAGGTGAGGCTACGAGCATGTTAGCAGTCAGATGCAGGGGCACAAACCTCACTAACACATAATACATATTTTCCTACTTAGGTATTTGCCTATTTGGGATTTTCATTTTGGTCAGATACATCTTACAAATGGTTCTTCCTATGCCACAGCTTTAACTTGGTAGGATTTCCATTTCCCCAAATACAGTGTAGTACTGTAAAGTTGGAAGTCACATAATCCATCAGTCATGTGTCTTGCAGACTCCCAGGCAGGAAAGGGGGATAAGTCTCTGGCTGTCCTTTCTCAGCATTGCCTCTCTGCAGATTCCATCCAGATTTGGAGGACAGGGGACCCAAAACTGGGGGCTTTTAAGAAGGAAATGGTGCAGGGACACTTAACTGCATCAC